TCTGGGAACGTCTTATTTCACCATTTGAAAGACAATTTTGCTGGATATATGATTCTTTGTAGGCAATTCTTTTATTTCAGGGGTTTATATATGTCATCCAATAGCCTTCTTGCTTACATGGTTTCTGCCAAGAAATAAGTGTTAGTTTTATTGATGCCCCTTTGTATGTGATATTTTTCATAAGCTGCTCTTAAAATTTTTTGATTCTTTGGTTTTGGAAAGTTTGATAATTGTGTTTTGGGATTTATCCTGTGTGGGGTGCTTCTTAGATAGAAATATTTTTGTCTTTGGTGACATTAGGGATGTTTTCTTTCAATAAATCTTCAAAAATTCTCTGCACTTTTTCTCCTCATCTTCTGGAATTCCTATTACCAAACTAAAAACCAAACTCACTGCCATCAAGTTGGATCTGACTCGTAGCGATCTCTCCTTGGGTTTCCAAGGCGGTATCACTATGTAAGTAGATTGCCCAACCTTCCTTCTGAGGAGTGGCTGATGGGTTTGAACCACCAGCCCTCTGATCAGCAGTCAAATGTCTTATGCACTATGCCACCAGAGCTCCTTTATGCACATATTATTTCTCCAGAGAGTGTCCCACATAACTCATAAGTTTTCTTCATTTTTGTGCTTATTCTTCAAACATAGTAATATCAAGGGATTTTTCTTCTATTTCACTGATTCTTTCTTCCACTAATTGTATTCTACTTGTATGTCCTTCCTGTGAGTTACCTGTTTACTTGGATCCACAATCAATGCCCATGGAAGCAGCAGTTAAGAAATTAAACAATATATTGCTTTGGACAAATCTGCTGCAAAAGACCTCATTAAAGTGTTAAAAAGTAAAGATGTCAACTTGAGGACTAAGGTGCATCTGACCCAAGCCATGGTATTTTCTATCGCCTCATATGCATGCAAAAGTTGGACAATGAATTAGGAAGACCAAAGGAGAATTGCCCTTTGGATTATGGTGTGGTAAAGAATAATGAATATACCATGGGCTGCCAAAAAAACCAAACATCTGTCTTGGAAATACACCTGGAATGCTCCCTAGAAATGAAGATACTCTACTTTGGTCTTTTATACTTGGTCATGTTATTAGGAAGGATCAGTCCCTGGAACAGGACATCATGCTTAGTAAAGCACATTTATAGAATTTCTTAGATAGAAGTAAATTGACAAGCTACACGCAAAGAAGGAGCCCTGGTGGCACAATGGTTAAGCATCAAGTATTAACTGAAAGGTAGGCAGTTTGAAACTACTAGCCACTCAGTAGGAGAAAGGTGTGATGATCTGCTTCCACAAAGATTATCGCCTTGGAAACTCTGAGACAGTTCCACTCCATCCTATATGATTACTGTGAGTCAGAATTAAGTTGACAGCACATAGCACCAACACCTATTGGTTTAATAAAGTTGATATATACACTTTAAGGACATATCAATTCAAGTAACTGAAGGACTGGACCTACAAATTTTGACTCATTCCAAAATATTCATTCTTCCTCTGTTGCTCTAATCCTTAAGACAGTTCAAGTGTCCTAATTAATAATGTGATTCTCTCCTCCTTAGTTCTTTTTAATACCTATCGATAATATAAACAAAAAGTAAGTTACACATTTTGGATAAAGTCCTCTTAATTTTAGTAAGTTGAATTGAATACTTTCCACTTGAAAAACAGACTAAGAGTTTTTATTAGTGGCTCAGTGGACTTCTGAGAAAAAAGATATACACACACTGTGTGTATATCTATTCCTGCTAGAAGTATTAAAAAACAGCATAAATAATGAGATATAGTTTTAAAGATATTCCCAAATAAATCTGCATGTTTTCAGTGTTATTTTGCTGTTGGTACTTGTTTTCCAGCTTTCTTCACTCTGAGTAACATAAGAAATCTGCCATTTTCCCTAGAAACATTACAAAAGCTCAGTGACACAATCAAAGCTTTAATTTTTTAGTTAGCTTTAATGTTTCATACCACCTTCACCTCTTTAGCTTCAAAGAAAGTAGACAGATAAACTTGGGGATTGTTAAAAAGCAAAATTAAAGCTATAATGTTATTTGAGCTCAAAAGTGTTGTAGTTTATAAAATTGACAAGTTTCTTTTACTTTTTAATGCTTCCCCAAGTGCCTGTCAACTATATAAAGCTGTAAGTCATGAATGGCATTAAACAGTTCCATACTCTTTTAACTTTTATTTTGTAGGGAATATTTTATGTATTAAAATATTACATTAAAAATGATAAGAGTAAACCAAAAAGCACAATAGATTTTTTTAACTTAATAGTTTTTAGCTTTACCTGGAATTTTTATATAATTGCCATTACTTCTTTTTAATCTTTTCAAGCCAGTATTTTAAGGTTTTCTTCAGTGTTCCAATATGAACTTTCTCCAGACTTATTCAGAATATAGTACAGATAGGGTAGCACCAGTTCTGATGCCTTTGTTATATGGTAAATACTTTTTCATCCAGGAAATAAGAGAACTAAGGGGATGTAGCTAGTGAAAATTGCAGTTAACTAAGAATTACTTATGTAATTCCAGATAATCTTTCCATGATATCTCTGCCTCACATAATCGAGACCTTCAAATTAATCAATAAGGATTAGTGCATGGTTATAAGTCATTTACCATAATGTCTGAGAGAGAAAACAACCTTTTATACCATTTGCAAAAGAGTTAGAATAATAATTTGGCTATCTTTTCAATAACTTCAACAAAATCAAAATTTTTTTTCCAAAGCTTATATTGTCAAAGTAGTGAGATTTTTTTTAAAGTGTAAATGTAAGATGTTATTATGACCTGTTTTTATTACTTCCTGAAGGAGCTCTATCTAGTGGTGGAGTGCCTAAGGTATTTGACTGCTAACCAGAAGGCTGGCGGTTCAAACCCACCAACTATTCTGCAGAAGGAACACTCTGAAGAAGGAAGACTCTGTAGAAGGAAGAAGGGACAACCTACTTCCATAAAGATTTACCACCTCAGAAATCCAATGGAGGTCACTATAAGTTGGGCAATCTACTTCTGTAGTGATACTGCCTCGGAAACCCAAGGAAGGGTCTCTATGAGTCAGGCCCCACTCGACTGCACATAACAACAACATAAGTTGAAATCAATTCAATGAAAGTGAGTTTGGTTTTAGTTTTGAGTTGGTTGTTAGATAAAAGATTGTTTTAGAATAGTATTAAGAAAATTTGGACCCCAGATATTCACTTGATAATATATGTAAGATATTTTACTATATTTTCAAGATATTTGTATTTTGCACATTAAATACCAATTAGATATGTTCAACATTATATTATTGTATAGTATATGTACACTATATATATAAGAAAAAAGAAAGGAAGGTTAGAGACAATCTTTTTCTTCTTTCTCCCACTAAAAACCTTCAAATTTTCTTTTTAAAAACAGAATTGAATTTTTCATAAAGAAACTATGTTCTTTTCTTATGTCTTATGAGAAGCATTTGATTTTTAATAAAAGGTAAAATATTGGCATATGAACCACAAGGTGGTGCTATAATTCCATGCTAGTAGTGGTATTCTAGACATGAATTGATCTAGTTTATTCTTATAACTGTAATCTCCTGATTTATATAAATGTACCTCTTTTGCAAATAAAAAGATAAAGTTAACAAGATTCATTAATTCTAGAAATATTTACTGAAGGACGTAAACCTCTGAATGCTGTTTTCAAAAGTTCAGTTTTGTCTAATGACAAAACATGTTTTAGAATATCAGAAATTCTTTAATTCTTAAAATATACTCCTATTTAGGATTATAACTTAATTTTAATAATTTATATTTAATAATTATCCAATTATACATATATATGTATATGTAATCATACACATAAACCAAAAAACCCAAACCCACTGCCACTGAGTCAGTTCTGACTCATAGCAACAACCACTAAGTTTCTAAGGGTGTAAATATTTATGGAAATAGACTGCCTCATCTTCCTTCTGTGGAGCAGCTGTACATGTAATACAAACAGATGAATAATAACATGTAATCAGATGATCTGTATGACAGAAAAAAAAAAGTTTCCTTTTCCTTCCAAATAGTGGAATAGTTTTTCTTGACAATTACCCAACATTATTATTACTGTTTTTTAATTTATGAATAATAACATGATTACATGTTATTATTCATCTAGTAATTTTTAAAAATTTTTCTCTTGATTTAAATTCATCTAAGACTTTAATAAACTTAACCTCTTTTCTCTCACACCCCTAAAATGTGTAACTCCCCATTATTTGGAAAAAAAAATCTCAACTCCCCATTATTTGAAAAAAAAAATTTTCCCGGTGTATCTAATAATACTGGACAGTCACCATCTGTGTCTGTGCTGCTGGTCTTAAAATGTGTTGTAGAATAGACCACTAAAATACTCAACACATTTCTCACAATGAACCTTCAGACCTACTTCCAAACACATAAAGTGAATCAGACCCCGACTTACACAGTGTTAATTGAAAATGTGTTGCTCCTTTTTTGACTAAGCATGAAATAATTGTGTTGGTGTTTTATTTAATTTTCAATGAGCATATTTAAATTTTCATTACAATGTACTCATCAGTACAGATGGCAAGATGGTATGTATTAGAGCCCCCTGGGTACAATATGAAAGTCCCAGTTGGAGTATTTCCAACAGGATGTAAACCATGGTCTTCAAGCCTGTACTTTAAAAAACATATTACTTAGCACACTGCCAACAAATGTCAACACAAAAATATAGAGCTGTAATGACTTCACTCTGTAAAAGAAATGTACTAGAACAGAAGTTTTTCCTAAGAAAAGTAAAATACAGTAAAGCAATAGTCATAGCTCAAGAAAAAATTATTTATTCAATATTGAATGAAAAAACTCATATGCCAGATGTAATTCAAATTCTTAACAAAAATATTGCAATATATTAAAACTGTAAAGAGAATTCTACAAACAAATATCATGTACAGTAGCCAATGTCCTAGAGAAGTTCCTGCAGAAAATTCTCCAGTTAGTGAGTTGGACATTTCAATAACTCTGCAGTTTCTTCAAACCTGAAATATAATTTAAAAAAAAATAATTATTTATATATATATATATATATATATATATATAAACTAAAAATAAGTCATAATTAAGCATATGATTTAAGTTATTGAAATTATTCTTTTGTGACTACAATAAAATTGAATATTTTTTTTTATTTATAGGTACAGTTACTATTAATAAACTAAGTAAACTACAGCCCAAGGGAGAATATAACCAGAGTCAACTATGAGTCTTTAATTTTTTGAGCATAAATTATAGGATCACTATGAGTTAGAACAGACACGATGGCAGTAAGGGATAGGAAATTATTTTAGTACTTTTAAAATTATAAAATAAGTTTTTTAAGTAATAGGTTATATAATAACCTTATATAATTTTCGTTTTATATTTCTTTGAATTGCTCTTTAAAATAAATATGTAACTTCACATTTGTATGAGATAAGAATATCATTTTTAGTATTATCTTAATAACTTGCTGAAAAATACTAGCAGTATCTCAACAATATTTAAAATTTCTAAATATATATTTAATATTTTGATAAATAGGTTATAAAAGAAAGATAATACTCTTGATTAACTATCAACCAAAAACAAAAACCTCTGCACTCTTTAATTCCCAGTTAATTTCATTAACAATGTTTTACATGACTTGTTAGAAATCAAAACAGTGACTCATCTCACAAACACATAACTGTAGGTGGATTTATTATCCACTGGAGTCATGAAGGAAATTCCACACCTGATTGAGAGACCTTTAAGGTTTGAAACACATATGCACATTCTATATTTACTGTAATCCAATACAATTCCCTATAGAGAAATAAATTTCTTTTGCCCCATTCTGTTACTTACATTTTTTTCATCCTTTCCATTTTCTGGATTGTTGTTTCCTTTAATTTAAAAAGCAACAAATTTAGGCAATTTCTCAAAGTTAACCATCATTAAAGATGGGCCCTTAACATAAAAAACACAGCCTAAAACATTACAGTAAGTACTGTTTACTTATCAGAAAGGATTTTTATAAGAGATTAAGATTTACACAGTTTCACTATTTTTCTTGCCAGTAGTATATACAATGAAAATTAATACTTGCTTTTTCTCCTGACCTTAGAAAGGAAATCATCTAAGCACTTGACAGTTTTCTTTACCTCTGAATTATCTTTCAAACCACAATAATTAATAGTCAAGGTTCTGGGAGTTGAATCTGATGATGATGTACTACACCCAGAGGACAGAGGAAGACTTGCTGGCCTCTCTTCTTTGCTTTTTTTATCTGTGGAGAAATTAACTTTTAGGTTACCTTTTCCTTTTACAATGCACTCAAAGATGTAAAAATTTGCTTTATAGATGGAAGAAAAATAAAAATATTACTTTAATATAAAAAGGCTACTGGTATAGATCCAATATGTATTGTTAATATTCTTTTAAGATAATGGCCTGGGTAATAAAAATTGGCCAAGAATAATTACTGAAGATAATATAATTTTTGTCATGACAGCAATCTATTTGAATGTTGTTGTTGTTGTTATGTGCCGCCCAGTCAGACCCTCCTTGGGTTTCCGAGGTGGTATCACTATAGAAATAGATTGCCCAACCTTCCTTCTAAGGAGTGGCTTATGGGTTTGAACTGCCAACTTTCTTGTTAGCAGTCAAGTGCCTTAGGCACTATGCTACCAGAGCTCCTTCTATTTGAATAAAGAGATGAATTAATAATAATTTGGTTATTTTAAAAAATAACCAACTGATGCATATATACTGTTGTCTTAAATTAGTAGCATTTATACTAAATAGTGAATACCAAAAATAAAAATCTGTCTTGATGTTTTTATCCAGTAATGCCTAAGGATTTCAGTTTTTTCACTATTGTTCTGTAGCAGGTGGCAACTATTGCTAAAGCTGACTGTACATACTTTTTATCAATTAAGAAGCATTTGATTCTGAGTTGATGCATATTGTGAAAAATAATGCCTAGAATTCAGGATTCAATCTTCTGTGTCTAAAGAATTGAACAACTTTCCATTTCTATTTTCATATTATACATTCAATAAGATGGCAAATATTCCCTACAACCAAATTACAGAACAATACAGTTAAGACAATATGCTTAATTTTAAAGCTTAGTAATATCATTAGGTATCCCTGTATCTCATAAAAATTTGAAAGCTTCAAAATTCTATCTATACTATCAGACTAATATCATAGTCACCATCTGATAGCTCAACTGTATCATGTAATTAGGAGTCTTTCAAAAAGTACACATAGTGGTTGATGAATTATACTTATTACAAAAGAAATGCAAAGAGCAACACCTGTTAAAGTCAAAACACTGCTTTCAGAATCATGGTTTTCAAACATATATTCCACTTTGACAATTTTCCTATTGAGAAACTGGTAAGTAACAAATGGCTAAAAAACAATTGTTCTCTTTCCTAAATAGTCACTCAAGAAGGGGGACTCCTTTGTAGGCAGATATTCAACATTGGTAAAAGATTCTTGTTTCTACATTTTCTAAACTAAAGGCAGTCCCTGGGTTATGAACAAGATCCATTCCAGTCTTTAAGAATTTGTAGGTCAGTCAGAAGAGGTTCATATGGTTCTTATTTTAGCCTTTCTTTAGTGCAAGAAAAGCCTTGAAGCCTTTCAATAATTTAAAAACTTTATGTGCAGCAAGAGAAGGTGATTGCAATGAAGGATTTGTTAAGAGTAGGGGTTGGTTCAATTGTTTCAAAGAGAGGCCATATTTACATAACACTAAAGAGGGCTTCAATGATGGGGCCAACTGTACCACTTTGAATGTGTGTGGCTCTACAAAGTCCTGCTAATAATAGTCCAATCTCACTCCTCAGGCTCACTACACGTCTTTTGAGTCTTCCATTCCAGATCTTTAATCCATAATTTTTCCCGTTCTGGTAACTGTGACAAATCACCCAAACTGTAAAAATTCTAATCTGTTCCTGTTTTTGCTTCACCAGCTATGAAAGAACCAGTCTGAAGGCCTGCATTAAAGGGCAAGCAGGAATTATCCGTCAGTCATATGTACAGAACCTGGGGACTGCCTGTATATGATCTCATGTTGTTCCAGAACAAAAAACATAGGTTTTGGAGTCCAACTGCTACTTATAGTTGTAACTTGGGAAAATAACAAACTCAGTGTTCTCCTCTGTCAAATGGGGGTGTTGTTCTTGTTAGATGTCATGGAAAATTTCAACTCACAGTGACTCTGTGTGACAAAGTAGAACTGCCCCCATGGTATTTTCTGGGCTATAACTTTCACAGAAGCAGATTGCTACGTCTTCTTCCCACAGAACCACTAGGTGGGTTTGAATCGTCAACCCTTTAGTTAGTAGCCAAGAGCTTAGCCATTGTGACACTACAGCTCCTTTTACGATTAAAGTGGTGAATTCATCTGATTTCCAAATGAAATAAAGCCCTCTGGCCCCAAGTAGCATGCATATGTAAGGCATAATGTGCAAAGCTTTATAAATTTGACTCTTAATTTATGTACACCAGATAATGAAGTCTTTTGAGACTAGGTATTATGGATTGAATTGTGGCTTCCAAAAATATTCATTGTAAATCTTCACTTCTATGCATGTGGTTATAGTCTCATTTAGGAATGAGTTGTCTTTGTCATATTAATGAGACGGGATTAGTGTGGGTTATGTCTTAAGTCAACCTCTTTTGAGATATAAAAGAGATTAAACAAGCAATGGAAGAAACAGAGATGGAGGAGACTGATGCCAAGCCACACAGAGATCTCCAAGGAACCATGAAACAAGTTGAAGAGGCAAGGAACTTCCCCCAGAGCAGACAAAGAGAGAAAACCTTCCCCAAGAGCTGGCACCCTGAATTCAGACTTGTAGACTCCTAAACTGAAGGAAAATAAACTTTGTTTACCAGATAACTGAGACACTAGATATTTACTTTATTCATAATCCACATGGCTTACCTGCTTATCACTCTTAGGTCCTAGCACAGTGGCTTCAACTTGTTTATGTTTACATAAAGCTGTTAAAAATATGTTCTATAATAATATAAGAATATATTGAGCCTGAAACATGTAAAATTAAGCCTGGAAAAGGCAATCCAGTAGGTTTTCAATATATGAAAATTTGAGCTCAACCATATGCAGGTACTAAAGATAAAGCAAAATACAGATATTCTTGACAGATAAGTCCATAAGACAAAGTTCTTCTCTTAAGGATCTTAGAATTTAGTTTATATTTGTTAAATAAATGAACAATAAATGAGAAAAAAATCAACCTTTTAATAAATATGAGTTTTGCTGTCGACGTTAAATTTAGTGCCTGAAACTGCATCTCTAATAATTATATTTAATGATATAATAATCACTGAAATTATTCTATGCAATGAAAATTGACATGTGCACTAAATCTGCAGTGGTTAAAAGAATACTTGAGAGCCACTTACCTAGATTCCAACCTGCTCCACCATTCAACAGCTGTGTGACCTTTGACACAGTTACTTAATCTCTTTGTATTTCAGTTTCCTCATTTGTAAAATGTGGATACTACTACTTATCTTGCAGGGTTGCCTTAAGAATTAAATGACATAATATAACACTAGGAGCTCTGGTAGCATAGTGCCTAAGGCACTTGACTGCTAACCTGAAGGATGGTGGTTCAAACTCACCAGTCACTCCTCGGAAGGAAGATGGGGCAATCTACTTCCATAGTGATACTGCCTTGGAAACCCAAGGAGGGGTCGCTATGAGTCAGGTCTGGGTCTGACTCGACAGCACATAACAACAACAACAATATAGCACTTAGAAAAGTGCCAGGTATATAGTTAGTATTATAATGTATTGTTGTTATTACAATCAATAAATTGTTACATATTAGTGGCTGAAAGGTTTGATGATGCTAAATGTCTAGAGATATAAGAATTTAACTTCAATATTAGTACTCAATTGGACAAATGTGATTTAAGCACAGACACAAGGGAGAATTCATTCAAAACTTTATCAAAAAATTAAGATTCAAAAAAGTAAAACCTATCACTGAAAAACAGACCAGAAATTCTTATTCTTGTTGCTCAGTCACAACTGAAAATGTCTTAACCTTTTGAAGTTAAGTGATATGAAGAATACCTGGACTGATTTTTCATATTTGCTCTCTTTATCACTAGTGAATTGTTTAAATGTAACAGGTTTATAATATTTTACAGGTTAGTGACAAATGTGATTTCTTCTCTTATTTGTAATAGTTTGTAGGGGAAAGTTACTACTTAAGTTTAAATTAGAAACTTTGGAGGCTTATTTTTATTATGCTAGTGCACTGAGCAATTAAATAGCTGAACATCTCTAAAAGTTCCTGAGTTTGTACCCTGGAATTTATTCAATCACTCTAACGTAAGCTGACTTAAGATCTTCTTGGCTTCGGGAGTTGCCGTGAATTGCTTAATGTGGCCCTTCTAGCCACTGTCCTCCATTTTGTGATGTACTGTAAATCCTATTATCCATGCCTGTTTATGGTAGTGTGGTAGTTAAGGTCATGTATCAACTTGGCTGGGCAGCTGGTAGTAGCTATTCCCTATAATGACTAACAATCAACTCTGTGGTGGAATTTGCCATGAGCAACAGAGTAGCTGCTTTTAAACTCCTGATTATTAAAGTCATCCATTTGGGGTATTTCTGTTAGAGCAGCACAAAGTAACCAAAACAAGTGGGATATATTGAGTCTCACCTTGCTGGAGGGGGTAACTCAAATCACCACCCTTAGCTTTCTTGAGGTTATATATAGGAATCTTTGGGAAGGTTCGGTCTCCCTCTTGCCCCAGTTCTGCGTTTTGGCTCTCATCATCTCACCCCTGGATTTGAGGCAGCAGCTGTCATCGGATCTGCTGATTTAGGTTCATCAAACCCCAACAATTAGGAGGATCCTCCAGACCTACTTACAGACCTGGGACTTAGCAGCCTCACAGCCTCTACCACCACTATGTGAGACAATCCCTTGGGTGTCTGTAAGTTGTATAAGACGTTACAGTGAAATACAGAACCTTAAGACAGGAGGGAGATGACTAGGAGGAAGAGTTAATGTCTGAAATGATGGAGTGGTGTGGTAGTTTGGACATTTGGGACATCTTCAACCTCTGCCTCATGGGGACTGGCCTTGTGCTGATCTTTCTAAGAGAAATTGTTCAAGCAGCAGTCTTTAAGTTCATATTTTCTTTGTTCCTGAGAGCTCTTTAATTTCCATGAAAATCAGGCTTGAGAATATTAAAATTACCACATAGCCATAAAAATTAACTTATTTGCAAAATCTATATTATACCACCAATACAAATATCCTTAGAACGTACCTGTTTTCAGATTATCCCTGTGCCTACTAGAAGCAGAGTCTTCACTCATTTCATTAAACTCTACATATTCATCATTCTGGAACAATATAGTTTAGTATTTAGAATAAAATAAGAAAAACATATATAATAACATATTATATATAATAATATTCTTACCACTAAGTATAAAGATCACATAGTAAATGTTTACTACTTTTAATTAATTTATTTAGAACGCAATGCATAAGCATGTCTATGTGTAAGAAATAATCTTTTAAATGTGGAATCTGATAGTTTTTTTATTCCACTAATTACTTTCTTAGAAGGAAATGGACACCAGAGATTGAAATCCTTAGTAAATCAAGAAACAAATTTGGTAACTATTTCTATGTAATTTATACTATGACTGAATAAGAAAAGGAAATAAAAGTTATCATTTTGATTTTTCCTCTCGTGTCAATATTTCTTTTTCTTTACCCAGTGAAAACACACCATTTGTGCTTTATAAAGGACAGAAAATAATAATAATTTCAAGCTTTTCATAAGCAAAGTCAAATACTGTCTTACATTATTTTAAGTACTTCAAGTATTAACAGTTGTAAATGCTCAAATACAGGTTTGTCAATTATCTTATTTTGTAAAATAAAAACAATAGCCACAATAGCAACAACAAAGTAAGTTGCACATAATCAGGACTTCATTTTAATTAAACACTTTGCCATTCCTAAATGTTCTTTTATTTAGCACATCCAAAAGAATATACACATAACAGTAAATAAAGAAAATACCTTATTGTATCTAAGATATTCTATAAAAGTTGAGAAAATACCTTTTTAGACAAAAGCATTTCTGTTTCAAGGAGAGTGATACGACTGAGAAGATTAGTCCAGGTCTTTTCATTTACCATCACTTTTCCTTTCATTTTTTCTTCTAAACATTCTATTCTACTCTCTAGCCAACTAAGCTTCTTAAGCTTTTCTTGACATTCAGCAAGCATAGTCTGTAATGTAGTAATCTCAGGATTAAATTTCATATCCTGCAATGGTTAGAAAGATTAAAAATATTACACAAACTGAAATTCTTTTGAAACCAATGCACTCCCATTTCCATCGCATTACTTCAATAGGTAAAAGAGGCAGAATGCTACCTCTGGAGGCAGACTGTTTGGGTGCTTAAACCAGTTCATCTAAAATGGATGACTTTGAAAACAGTACCTAACTTCATATGGTTTTTGTGAGGATTAAATGAGTTAATTTTCAAAAGCTCTTAGAACAGTATCACATGGTACAATAAAACTAGCACTACCTAGCTGCTTATTATGATACCTAGAGAAAGTTAAGAGAAAATGACAAAAAAAAATACTACCCACACTGAATGCACTGAGATTGCTCAGTTTGCCTTTTACCAGGAAATAAGTCCAATAGCCATCAGGTAGTCTCTGGTAGCATAGTGCCTAAGGCACTTGACTGCTAACCAGAAGGCTGGCAGTTCAAACCCACCAGCCACTCCTCGGAAAGAAGGTTGGGCAACCTACTTCCGTAGTGATACTGCCTCAGAAACCCAAGGAGGGGTCACTATGAGTCAGGACTGACTCGACGGCACATAACAACAATAACAACACAGTATAATGAGATATATATAGAAGTCATTTGTTGTTGTTGTTGTTGTTATGTGCCTTCGAGTCGGACCCGACTCATAACGACCCCTCCTTGGGTTTCCGAGGCAGTATCACTATGGAAGTAGATTGCCCAACCTTCCTTCCGAGGAGTAGCTGGTGGGTTTGAACCGCCAACCTTCTGGTTAGCAGTCAAATGCCTTAGGCACTATGCTACCAGAGCTCCCATAGAAGTCACAGACATAGGAAAAAGATAGAAAAGGAAGGTTTAACAGAAGCATTGGAAAATAAACACTATAATTGGGACTGTGGTAATAAAGATTAATAGAAATAGCATTTTAGAAGAGACCGAAAAGGACAGCAAGGACCCCAAAAAAGGAGAAAAGAAAAGAAAGAAAAAAAAAAAAGGCAGTGATGTGACACTCTTTTCCATTCATTAATATTGGAAACATGTAGTAGAGAACATTTACTGTCCAGGTAGTATAAATAAACTATTCCCACTAGACTGCAAATTCCTTGCTCATGTCTTACTCACCTTTGCATTACCAATAACACCTAGCCTGTACCCTAACACAAGCAGCAGAGTATCTGTTGAATTATATTCAATAAGATTTACTGATTCTTAAGTAACAGAAACATAAGGTAATATATCGCAATAAATAATTCAGAGAGCTACAAACATTACGAAGTTTACACAGTGAAATAATCACTTCAATGTAAGAAGTACTACAATCTGTTAAAGAAGCCCAAAATTCTTACGTGTTGCTCAGACTTGATCTCAGGAACCATTATGTCAGGTATCTTTATTTCAGTAGTCTTTACATCAGTCATATCAAATGCTTCATTAACATCTGTTACTGTACCTAATGTATCTTCAGGAATGTTAGCACTGTCTTCATTATACAAGTGACGAATCACCACAGCTTTTTTCTGCATAGAGAAAAATATGAGTTGTTTCAACGTTTGTCTCATACAACTGAAACATACAGTTATTTCACAAAAGAAGCATCTTCTTTTATGATTCAGAAAGGTTTAAATTAACACATATATATATCTCAAAAGATAAGTTATTATAATATTTTACATGTAATGATAAAATTAGTTATAATTTTTAAAAGCATTCTTATAGCTTAGAAAAATAATAAAATATTTCAATGATATTTGGGATTTATTTCAAAATGTTTGTTTTGCAAAAAGGAGAGTAAAATTGAGGAAAGTAGAATAAAGATGAAATATGATTAGCAACAAGTTGATAATTTGTTGAAACTGGGTACTGGGTAGATCTTCAGCTAATAACTCAAGCTTGACAATGACCAAGGGAAAGTCTCAAAAGTAAGACAATTAGGTCAAATTAAGCATTTATGCAGGTCTCTATTGCCTACTTCCTTTTTCAGAAACAATGCACATATGCACTATGACAACTTAACACAGGTTCTGAGTCATAGTGACCCCTCCTTGGGTTTCCAAGGTGTTATTTCTACGGAAGTAGATTGACCAGTCTTCCTTCCGAGGAGCGGCTGGTGGGTTTGAACCACCAGCCTTCTGGTTAGCAGTCAAATGCCTTAAGCACTACACCACCAGAGTTCCCTACAGAAGTCACAGAAAATATTTTACAGCACTAAGAAGGGAGACAATTTGCTTTAGCATTGTCTCAACTTTTGCCTATAAACAAAGAAATATGCTTATTGATTCAAATGTTTCTAAATCTGAGAACTTTTAACAGTTTTTCAAATTTCTGATAATTAAAGATCTAATGTAACTGATTAAATTTTGATGGGTAACAAAAAACATCCTTTGTTTTAAAATAATAAAATCAAGTTGAATGTCTTGAAGTTTTGAATCTCCCTTTGTCAGGACAATAAAGGAAACCCTCCAGCCCCAATACAGAAATAAAGATACAAAAGCACATTTAGTTATATCAACTCATTGTTAATAGTATGTAACTCATGTATTTTGAATTAAAGCAGAAATAATTCTCTATTATTCACATCCTTTCTCCAATCACACATTAATTATTCATCTGCACCCATCCTTCAGTTCCAGAAAGGGTTTACCACAGAAGGAAGACAGCTGAAAGTCCACTTGTGATAATAAAATAATATTTTGGCCTCCATCTCCTTTGGAGACAGAAAAATTGTATTTCTAAATGCATTGGACTCATTCACCATAGATGATCAAAGCATATCTACCTATCAGTATGAGAGGAAATACCCAAAACAGTAATCTAAAACCGTATTATGGGTTTAGGTATTATCTATCACCACAAAATTCATATTCTTGGTTATGGAAATATGAACATATATAAATGAATCATTGTAATCTATTACCATTATTAATAGTAGGCTCTTCACATGCTCACATCTATTCCAAAGACCAGGTATGTCATTAATAGCAAATATAAATGACTGCATACCATAACCTTCCTAAATCACTGCTGTTCTGAGAAATGAGATAGAATTAAGAATTAGAAATACAAAGAGAAAGCCAGTTCAGTTTTACACCTCTAGCATCTTCTTATAACTTGAGAAATGTTCTCCAGAAAAATATGTGGTCCACATCTGTAAAAAAGTCTCTACACTCTAATATCTATCTTACTAGAATGTTTTACCAACTACCATTCTGAAACGTAATCTTATATATTGGATTCATTAGATAGGTAAGTCTTACTGAAACCACATGACATATTTCCTTTTTCCCATACCTTTCCTGAAGTCATAAACTTTCCAGTGATGTCAATGCCAACAGGTTCTATAGAAGTTTTCTCACTACCTGAAGGCTCTGGCTTACCAAAACTGATTTTTTTCCTTTGTTGTGATGAAATCTAAAAAAAAGAAAAAAGAATGAGAAATAATAACAAATATTGTATTAAAGCATGATGTACATTAAATTTACTATTATTTAAATGTTCATATATGAAACAAAACTACCAAGTAATGAGAGAATAATGAGATTGTATGGCTTCTGAAAACTATGCAGTATTGAAAACATATTATGTTTGAACTGTTAGTTTAGGACTAGCAGCTCCAAGTCACAGATGTGTACAAACAATCACTAGTGTTTAACGCAAACATCAAGCTTTGTAAGGTTACCCAAATCTGTGAATAATGTTATGTATGCATTAATTTTCTGTGTAGGGTATTAATTTGATACATTAAAATAGTGGGCCACTTAGCATAATTCAGTTTTAAAATCTATTATTAGAATTACCTTCTCAAGACTACTCAACTCCTTGTGCTTTTTCATCACACAATTCAAAATATCACAAATAATTTGTATTTTCCATTCTGCAAACCCACACTGGACAAACTGCTTTTTTGTCAAAACTGGCTTATAATTAAATTGATCACGAAGAAGCTAAAGAAGGAAGAGATTGATAGAATAATTTAGTGCAATTTCTTTCTAAAATCCAAAATGATAAACAGCTACCTGGTCAGTGCCATCTCTGAGAGGAAAAGGAGGATTGAGCTATTAACTAAAGGGCACTAAAGATATTCATAGGCATAATATGAGTCATGATCAGGAAGAAGAGACAGCCAGGGGAAGAAAAAAAAAAAAAAAACCAGGTAGCAAGTGATATGCCAGATACCTGGTGGCACAGTGCTTAAAGTGTTCACATGCTAACTGAAAGGTTAGCAGTTCAAACCCACCAGTGGCTCCATGGGAGAAAAATGTGATAATCTGCTTCTTTAAAGATTTATAACTTTGAAACCCCTATGGAGCGGTTTCTGCCCTATATGAGGATCGCTATGAGTAGCAATCATGACACTGATGACAGCAGGTTTCGTTTATTTTTGGTAGGGATTACCCAGACAAAAGATGGGTGTCCACAGACATGGAAAAAAATACAATAAAACCTTCAAAAGTCAGAACCTGTATAAGATGGAAACCTGTCAGAGAAAGAAAACAAATACTTTCCACAAAAATGAGGGACAGAAAAATGGTAAGACTGCATCATGTCAAAGGAGACCCAGCAAAAACAAGGCATTCCCATCAAGTTCCAGCACTCACGGATTTCATTGTAGTTTATCGTCAAAAAATTCAAATATCCTTATAGGTGCTAGAAAAACTCCTTGACTCACTATAAAAGAAAGAATACTATACCAGATATCAGAAAACTGTAATTTATTTGTTTAAAATTCATCCACTACATGATTTTTTAGAAAATTTAGTCTGTGAGTCTTAGTTCCGCATTTATAAAATAAGAGAATGAGATCAGACTCATAGCTTTCAAAATATACTCTGTGGAAACCTGGGATTTGTCAGAAGTGCCTCTTAGGCTTCCATGGAAGGTTTCCGGGGATTAGCGACAAAGAAAGGGAAGATTAAACAGAGACTGAACATAAAAAAAGGAGCACAGGTGGCACAGTGCCTAAGGCATTTGACTGCTAACCAAAAGGCTGGCAGTTTAAACCTGCCAGCTGTTCTACAGAAGGAAGATGGGACAGTCTACTTCCAGTAAAGATTTACCAGCCTTGGAAACCCAATGGGGGCCGCTATGAGTCAGAATTGACTTGATGGCAGTGAGTTTGGTTTGGTTTGGTACATATAAAAGTTCCCATTTCACCCAATGTAACTCCACTTTTTTAAAAGATTGGATTCAATAAATGGGCTTTATCATTAAAAAAAAAAAAAAAAGTTGAAGAAAGCTAGAGTACTTGAACAAAAATTAACCATAAAAATAAGATTTTTAAAAATCAAACATGAGACTGAGTGCATTCATTACAAGTACGGACAAGTATAGATACACTATATCTATATATTGTATACATTGTATACATATTAATTCATAATTCTATAAACCACAGTCTACTACGTAAAATCACATTTCCTCCTAATTTCTGCCAGTGTACCAAATCTTACTAACTTACTGAAATTTGATGCAAAAAAGACAAAATGATAGTCAATGACAAATGTTTATCTGTTGTTATATTTATTAGATTATAAAACATTTACAAAGCAAACTTGAATTGCATCTTGATTTCTAAAGAGACTACAATTAAATACGTAACGACAATAATGTCAACTTTGTGTGCTGCATATACTTAATTTTCACAAATCAACCAATAACTTCTAAAATAATTATTGTTTCATAAACTCAAAATACCTTATAGACTGCATCTATAAAGCGCAAGTCATTCTTTGCTATGAGTTCTACATTGGATTCCATCAGAAGTTCTGCCACATATGGTGAATATGAAGTAAGAGAATAGCTGATGATTGGCAAAGATGCTGCTGTGTCTCCCTTTATCAAACTGTTAGGGGAAAAAAAAGGGCTTTTAAAAAGTTGGACAATTAGGTAAATATGAGAAATGTCATTAATTTATAATGATACCCATAATTGTTAAGTAATGCGTGAGACTTTCTAGATTCCATCTCCCATTCTAAACCAGTGTATTAGATTATTATAAAATATTATTTTTCACCAGGAGCTCTGATGGAATTTGGCTGCTAACCAAAAGGTCAGGGCTGCCCAGAAAGATGTGGTAACCTGCTTCTGTAAAGATTGAATAATTCTCTGTTGAGTAATTCTCCAGGATTGCTATGAGTTGGAACTGACTCACTTGCAAAGAAGTTTGTTGGTCTGTTTGTTTGTTTTGGTGACCAGGTTGGCCAGTTTTACTATCTTCTACTGACGTTGTTGTTGTTGTTATGTGCCGTCGAGTCAAACCCGACTCATAGCGACCCCTTCTTGGGTTTCCAAGGCAGTATCACTACGGAAGTAGGATTGCCCAACCTTCCTTCCGAGGAGTGGCTGGTGGGTTTGAACCGCCAGCCGTCTGGTTAGCAGGCAAGTGTCTTAGCCACTATGCTACCAGAGCTCCCCTACTGACATTAGGCCCATCCTAAATCTGTATCTTTGCTTATGTTGATTCCTCCGTCTAGAACACTATCTCACTGCTACCTATCTACATGACTGTTATTCATTCTATATGAATCATTTGTCAAATCTCAATCCTTCTATGAAGCCATCCTCAACTCTCTGACCCATACCAATCTTTCCCAGAATGCCCCCCAGGGCACTCAGGATCTGCTACCTCATTCTCTGTCTTTCACTGTTTTCCAGTTTTCAACACTTATGGATATTATTTTCTCAATGTGAAGCACTCTGATTCTCCCACAACAATGCACAGAAGGCATATACAAATAGCCAGTTGTGTTTGCTCAACTGAAATAATGATGCACTTGTATAAAACATATTCAATACATGCATATAAATTTCCTCTGTGTTTGATAAGGCAGAGAACAACTATATAATAATAACATCACATTTTGTTTTTCAGGAAAAAATGAATTCTTTCTCTTTTAAGTTTCCCTATGGGCACAGAAATATTTCACCCATGAGAAAAAAAGCTCTGGCAACTTGTCTACCTAGAATAAAAGCCAAAACAAACAAATAAACAAACAAAAAAACAACAGGCCATAACAGGAAATGAAAAAATAATTTTGAGCAGCAAAATGGCCAATTTTATGTACATTATAAACAGAAGACAGTCAGGCCTACATTTAGCATCTCTTATGTTAAACAATCACCAAAAGCTTCTATGGAGTTAGTAGATTAGAAACACTAAGAAAAACGGGTTATTATAAACTGGCATACTGACAGCAAAAGACAACTGATGGCAAGAGAAAAAAATAAGTGAAAAAAATATGTGGAAAAAAAAATATGTGGTATATGAACCAAGAGAACATTATACTGGGGAAATAAGTCAAATAAGGGCAAATATTGTATGCTCTCACTTTTATGAAATGACAATAGTAGGTACATATACAGAGATAAGTGTTCACTGATGGTTACCAGGAGTAGGAGTAGGAAAAGGGTTAGAAGGGGAATCATATCTAGGTAGTAGTCATATTTTATGTTGATGACAAAGGTGGCACCTAATGTGGGGGAGGTTTGTACAGTATAGTTATATTTCACTAGTATAACTGATCACTAAGTTGTTCATGAGAAAAAAGATTAATTGGTAAATGCTATATAATAAGAGCTCTGGTAGCATAATGCCTAAGGCACTCGACTGCTAACCAGAAAGCTGGCAGTTCAAACCCACCAGCCACTCCTTGGAAGGAAGGTTGGGCAATCTCCTTCCGTAGTGATACTGCCTCAGAAACCCAAGGAGGGGTCACTATGAGTTGGGCCCGACTCGATGGCACATAACAACAGCAACAACATATAATTTGGCAACAACAACAAAAATATAAAGAGATATAAATAAATACATATAATAAATAATATAAGAGCTACAGAAGCAGTTACTTCTTAGACATAACCAGTCACCTTATGGAATTAGTTTCCTTGGCTTGAAGACTTAGAATCAGTCTCATGGTCAATTCAGTCAACTGGCACAACATAATTCATAAAGTTCATGTTCTACATCCTAGTTTGGTGAGTAGCATCTGCAGTTTTAAAAAGCTGTTGAACAAATATCTAAGACACAGGTACTGGTTTTTATTTGTCTGGAGCAAAAGAGAATGAAGAAAATCCAAAAATCAAAGAGAGAATTGGAATATAAGACTAATAAGCTCCATGGAACCACAGCCTCCTCTACTTTCTTCTTTTGGAAGAATTGGATGGTGCCTAGTTACCAGTACTAAAAGTTCCGATCAGGGTTAATAGATGGATACTAATAGAAAGGTAGGGGGAGGGAGAAGAATGAACTTCAAATTCTTCCCCCCTCATGGTTCAATGATTTATTTATTTTATTTTTGCAGTATTCCTTCCCCTCCCCCTCCAATCCCTGGTAACCAATAAAGAAAATTTCCTTCCATATATAAACCTTTCCTTGCCTTTTTACAATAATGAACTAATACTATATTTGTCCTTCTGTGATTGACTTATTTCACTCAGCATAGTGTCCTCCAAGTTCATCCATGTTATGTGGTGTTTTGCAGATTCTACATTATTCTTTAGTATTGCATAGTATTCCATTGTGTGTATATACCATATTTGGTTATCCATTCTTCTGTTGAAGGGTACCTAAGTTGTTTCCATCTTTTTGCTACTGTGAATAGTGCTGTGATGAACATGGGTGTGCATATACCTGTTCTCATCCTGGCTCTCACTTCTTTATGATATATACCTACAATGGGATTCCTGGGTCAAATGATATTTCTAATTCCAGCTTTTTAAGGAATCGCCATACTGCTTTCCACAGTAGTTGTATCATTTTACAGTCCCACCATCAGTGTATGAGAGTCCCAATCTCTCTCCACATCCTTGCCAGCATTTGTTATTTTCTTTCTTGTTGAACTTTGTCATCAGTGCTGGGGTTAGATGGTATTTCATTGTTGTTTTGATTTGCATCTTTCTGATGGCTAATGATCATGAGCATTTCTTCAAGTATTTGCTGGCCACCTGAATATCCTCTTTGGTGAAGTGTCTATTCATGTCTTCTGCCCATTTTCAAATTGGCTTGTTAACCTTTTTATTGTTGAGGTGTTGGAGTTTTCTATAAATTTGAGAGGTAAGTTCCTTGTCAGATATGTCTTTGCCAAATATTTTTTCCCAACCTGTAGGTTCTCTTTTTACTCTTTTGGCAGTGTAATTATCAACAAGTGTGAATTTGTTGCTGTCATTTTGTTATGTGCTTTTCATGGTGTTACTGATTTCTTTGTTCCATATAATTTTCTGTGCTGAGCTCATTGTTTATGAATTGTATTATCACTTCCTTCTTTGCATTGTTTTAGTATTTGCTAAATATTTGTGCTGGTTTTCTTTTTTATTTTACTGTGAAGGTTTATCATTTTTCTTTGAGGTATTCTACGATTTTTAATTTTCTTCCCAAGTTTAGAACAGTCCATTCTACCTTGTGGTTATCTTGACTTCCCCACCATTTAGAAGTTCTGTAACTACACATTTTTTCCCTCCTTTTGGTTTGTAGTTATCCTCACTTGTCAATTGATTATCTCTGGTTCCCTGTTTACAATCTTGTAGGCTTATTTACTTCGGATAATTCCATAATGGGGTTGGTTTCTGGGTTATGTTGTCATGTGTGTTAATGATCAGTTGTTGCTGGTTCTCTGTCCAAAGGACTCCCTTTAGCATCTCTTGTAAGGATGGTCTGGTTTTAACAAATTCCCCTAATTTCTACTAATCTGGAAGTCTCCCAATTTCATCATCATATTTGAGGGACAATTTTGCTGGGTATAGTTTTTTTTTTTGGAAATTTTTCTTTCAGGGTTTTATATATACCATCCCATTGCTTTCTCACCTGCGTGGTTTCTGCTGAGAAATCTGAGCTTAGTCTTATTGGTTGCCCCTTGTAGGTAACTTTTCATTTCTCCTGTGCTGCTTTCAGGATGCTTTCTTTGTCTTTGGTTTTGGTGAGTTTGATGATGATCTGTCTTGGTGATTTTTGTGGGGGGGTCTATCCTGTTTGGGTTTGTTGGACTTCTTGAACAGAAATATTCTTATCTTTCATCATACCAGGGAAATTCTCTTCAAACAAATCTTCAACAATTTTCTACCTGTTTTGTCTCTTCCTGTTCTGTAATTCTAATTACACAGGTTATTCCTTTTGATGATATCCCACATAACCTTAGGTTTTCTTCATTCTGTTTTGATCTTTTTTTCTAACTGATCCCTTTCCAAAGAAGTATTGAAGTATTTGTCTTCAACCTCACTAATTCTGTCTTCCATTAATTAAATTGAACCCTTTTGCCCGTTCAATATGTTATCTATTTCCAAAAATTTAGTATTAATCTCCTGGATCTCTATCCGTAGATTCTGTATCATTTCTAATTTGTCATTTGTCATTTTGTTTTTGTATTGTCTTTAGAAATTGTTCTAAGGTTTTCTCTGTTTTCCTCAATTTTGTCAGTGTTTTCCTTAATCTGTCTCTCAATCCATTGAAGGTACCTAAATATAATTCTTTTGAATTACTAACCAAGGAATTCCAATGCTGCTTCTTCCTCAGGAATGTGTTCTGGGTCTGCTGTTGTTTTATCTTAGTTCTTTGTGTGGACTGTGATAGTCTGTTGTCTCTGAGACATTGTGACATTTTTGTGTTTATATTTAATTGGTGATTGTATGTTGGAGTGACTTGCTTAGGGTTTTTGTTTTCTTTGTTTTGTTTGGATGTTATCTATATAAGCAGGGTATTGTGCTCCCGTATTTGCTAGTTGGCAGCACTTACACACTTATCACCTGTCTCCCTTCCCATTGTCAGCCTTCCGTATGTCTCTGCTGTCCTTGACAAATGGAGTCTATTCTTAGGTCCCTGGAATCAGAATGAGAATGCTATCACTTTAAATA